CATAGGATCCCCCAGATCCCCAATTTGTTTTGAGGTCTTGTTATAAGAGGGGCTCCCCTTTTTTTGGGGGAAGGGGGCCCCATACTAACTAGACTCCCACATTACATAGTTATGAAAATGAGAAGCAGCAGTTACAGCCGTACAGCCCGCACCACTGCACGGTAGAGATGACATATAGCCGCGCATCGTGTCAAATCCGGCAGAAATGACCTGCTACCCCAGCTTCCGTGCCTGTTTCACCCTTTTAGCAGATTTGTCTCTCTCGCTGGTGCGAACCTATGTATTTCAGAGTGTCCCACTTGCGCATCCCTCTTCGGGTAGTTACAAGTTGGCTCCTTACCTCCTCAAAATTCATCACCAAGCGTGGAGAGAAAGAAGCCTAGCCTGCAAGGCCTCTGCTGCGGGCAGGGACAGCACGATGAGTTCCCAACATACGCCATGTAGCTTGCTGGACCAGGCAACTCGGAGTAATGCCACCAACAACAGGGCACTTCTGTCTGGCCACAGTGCCATCATCATCTTGCTGCTCGCCATCATCCGCATCTTCAACTGCACCCTCCTCAGCCTATGCATCAGACAAGTCCAAAATGCAGCACAGCCAAAGACTACAACTACAAATGGTGGAATGCCCTGGGCCTCTTCCATGTCATCTTTCCGAAGCTGTGACTCTGTCACACTTTTGCTGAACCTAGTAACATCTTCACATGAAATCTGAGAACTGCAGACTGAGGTTGCCTAAAAACCCCCAGACCCTAAACCCTAANNCTAAACCCTAAACCCTGACTGAGGTTCGTTCTGCTTCAGGACGGTCTTGTTGAAGCCGAAGGAAGAACAACGGATGACAAGCTCAATCGTGGCCTGCAGTCCAGATCTGGAAATTCTCCAGACTACAGACTACAACGCAAATTGCTGTTACTGTTCCTAGTAATATTATCTATTATCTATTGTCTATTACTATTACAATTATAATTACTAGTTCTATTACTGTTACTCTTGTTTTTCTCTTCCTGATATTTGCTTGACTTCTGGGGCCGTGGCAAGTTGAAAGCAGGTCGGGAAGAAGTTTGCGAGCACTAGCCTCACTTAGTGGGGGTTAGTGGGGAATGAGGGAA